ATCTAATAGTAATGGGGTTAATTAAAAGAATCTAGGTTTTTATTTTTTAATTTTTTGCTTGCTAGTCCTGGTTCACACTCCTTACCGGTGGTGGCGGTAATGCACCAAATGTTGTTTGCCAACCGCCATTAAAAACCAAGAAGAAAAAGAAGAGGTGTGGTACTTGCATTTGGAAGGTTTTGCTGTGAAGTAAACATGCGGTCAAAGGAGCTCTCCATGCAGGGGAAACAAGCCGTCCTTAAGCTGCAAAAACAGAAATAAACCATCCGAGAAATTGCTACAATATTAGGAGTGGCGAAATCTACAGTTTGGTACATCCTGAGAAAGAAAGCACTGGTGAATTCATGAGTGCAAAAAGACCTGGGCGCACACGGAAGACAACAGTGGTGGATGATGGCATAATAATCTCCATGGTGAAGAGAAAGCCCTTCACAACAGCCAACCAAGTGAACAACACTCTCCAGGAGGTAGGCATATCAATGTCCAAATCTACCATATAGAGAAGACTGCATGAAAGTAAATACAGAGGGTTCACTGCACGGTGCAAGCCACTCATAAGCATCGAGAATAAAAAGGCTAGACTGGACTTTGTTAAAAAAACATCTAAAAGCCTGCAGAGTTCTGGAAGAACATTCTTTGGACAGATGAAACCAAGATGAACCTCTACCAGAATGATGGAAAGAGAAAAGTATGGTGAAGGCATGGTACAGCTCATGATCCAAAGCATACCACATCATCTGTAAAACACAGCAGAGCAGTGTGAAGGCTTGGGCATGCATGGCTGCCAGTGGCACTGGGTCAGTAGTGTTTATTGATGATGTGACACAGGACAGAAACAGCCGAATGAATTCTGAGGTATTCAGAGCCGAACTGTGCACTCAGATCCCGCCAAATGCAGCTAAACTGATTGGTTGTRGTTTCATACTACAGATGGACAATGATCCAAAACATAAAGCCAAAGCAACCCAGGAGTTTATTAAAGCAAAGACATGGAATATTCTTGAATAGCCAGGTCAGTCACCTGATCTCAACCCAATTGAGCATTTCACTTGTTAAAAACTAAACTTCAGACAGAAAGGCCCACAAACAAACAGCAACTGAAAAGTGCAGTGAAGGCCTAGCAGAGCATTAAAACGTAGGAAACAGCATCTGGAGATGTCCATGAGTTCAAGACTTCAGGTTGTCACTGCCAACAAAGAGTTTTCAACCAAGTACTAGAAATGAACATTGTTTTGGCAATATTTATTTAACAAAGACAGAAATACGTGGTCCAAGAATGAAGGTACTCCGTGAGATGATCAGCTGAGTTTTATTGCAACAACAGGAACACAGAGAACAACCTGGCCTGTCTCTGTGTCTGTCCACACTACTGTTGAACACTGTTGAACACTGTGTCCCGAGAGGCCTCATATATATATTAACAAACACCATTCTGTCATCTTAGCAAGATTTGATACAAGGTCAATGGAAAACACAAAGATAAAGTTATATCTAATAATCACTGTTGTTAGCAAATCTTGTTCTGACTTTAATCATTCTATCTGCAGATGAACAGAATGTCATGAAAACCTAGGTCATTAAAAGATATCATGAATAACTTGCTTAAACATAAAAGTATTAGTTTGATTACAAAGATGTTATTTACAATTATTTAATCTATCCAATTACTTTTGAGCCTCTGAAATGAAGGGATTGTGTTTAAAAGATGCTTTTATTTTTTTGCTTTAGTTCTTCACATTTTTATGCAATAATTATGTTCAACCTACTGAATTTAAGCTGAAAGTCTGAACTTCAACTGCATCTGAATTGTTATGTTTAAAATTCATTGTGGTAATGAAGAATGTTGTATCTMTCCAAATATATATATGGACAGAACTGTAAGTTCACCCCTTTGACATCATAAACGGGTGAACTTCGCACCATCCTAGCTTTTGAACAACTGAGCCTTTCTGGGATGCTCCCTTTTATACCGAATTATGACACACACTTGTTRCCAATTAACCTGTTCACATGTGGAATGCTCCTAACGTGTTTTTTGAGCATTCCTAAACTTTCCCAGTCTTTTATTGACTCTGTCCCAGCTTCTTTGGAGCATGTTGCAGGCATCAAAATCAAAATGAGTGAATATTTGAAAACAACAACAACAACAACAACAACAACAACAAAAAAACAACAACAATGTTTATCTGTATATCTTGTCTTTGTAGTGCATTCAATTGAATACAGGATGAAAAGGATTAGCAAATCATCATATTCTGTTTTTATGTTTAATTTACTTAACATCCAAATTTCAGGGATTGGGTTTACTTTGTGCTATTTAATCATTCAGTTCATTCAAGAAATAGTATGAAATCTGTTTTGATTCTTAGTTCAATTGTCTGTTTATTTTTCTACTCTAATCTTTAATTTCAAAATGTTAGTTTGCAGTCAAGTCATATATCGCCTTAAGTTCTTATCTTTTCCTGTTCCTCAAATAAGCTTTTCTGAACATTTTGTTTTGGTCTGAATGACAGATCAAACTTGGTTTCTGACAGCAGAAACAGTAGTTAATCTTTTTTTTCAGCATAGTTTGCATCAAAGAATGACCCTCARTCCTCAGTTATAAAGCTTGTTAACCTTTACACCACACAGTAAAGAAAACTTTACTTTGTTTAGTRGCCGTGTTTCTACAATAAGACCAGAAGGAAATTACAACTCTATATCGATTTCCTAAATCCAGGCTGAGATTTGAGCCAAAATGAGGAACCCACCTGCAATCAGACTGGAAACGATGAGAGGAAGCATCATCATCTGTAGGATTCTCATCATCAGCTCTCCAGGAAAAGTTATGCACATTATTTCTCGAGCTGACATTTTAACTTGTCGCAGAGCAAAGCCCAGGCCAATTCCTCAGGTACAAAGACACAGATCAGAAAGTCAGTGTTGGTCCACAAATGGAGCAACAACGAGGCAAACAAAAACCTGACAAGAATAATAATAAAAAAATCTTGATGGAAATAAATCAGATTGAAACAGATTTCAACATTTCTCTTACCTACAGCAACAGCAACCATTGTGAGAATCACAAAAGCATTTTTCTTGAAGAAAGACCAAACATCACATTTTTTCTGAATCCACATCACTTTAGCCTCAGAGTCTCTGTTGTTCAGCTGGAAGTCTTCAGGTTGCACCATCTCTCCTGACTTCATCTCAGACATGTCTAAAGCAGTGGCAGATGCTGGTCTTTCAAGGAGAGGAAGCTCAGTTTCGGCCTACATCATAAAATGTGTAGGTTATAAATTCTATCCTCTGTTCCTTTTCAAGAAAATCATCTGTGACCCTGTCACAGATCATTTTC